TTGGGAACAACTGCTAGATGTTTCCTTGAAGCTCTTTAATTCTACAACAGCTATAAAACCTTAAGTGCAGCCCCTGCCTTGGAAAAACTAATAATAGAAATGTAGGAAAAACAGAAATTCTAGTCAGCCTGTTGACAACGTGTTTCCTATAAAGTACTCCTGAAAGTATTTTTCCCCACTATTTAATATCCAGTCATCCGGGCTACTCTTGACACTTGCCGTTCTATTCTAGCATGGTCCTAGGGGAACTCCTTCCTTCCAAAACCAATGGAGATATTGGCAGTACAAAATACTGACAAAATATTGACACCCAATGGAAATATTGGGTACAAAATATTGACACCCAATGGAAACAGGAAAAGGAGGCAGCTACCTGGGATTGTTTCCAGGCTCTGCCTTTTGCTTGCTCCTACTTTTCTTTGTCCCTTCACCAGGCAGACAAGAGCTTTCAGGCATCAAGGCATTCTTGGAGTTTAGTCCAGTGGACCCTCTATGTAAATCCAGTGTCTTGTGATACCTCAGAGGGCTTTAATTTCCATTCCAGAAGTAGGGCAATAACCCTTTGCTTTTGAATGTGTCTTCTGCCTCTGGGCTTCCAAGTTTTCTAATTAATTGGGGCTATTTATTTTATAGTTCTAGTATAATCATGCAGAGAAGCAATTTAAAAGTGAGCATATAGTTATGAATTTCTCTGCCCATAATCAATCTTTTCCTTGGCTTCCCACATCCAATGGCTGGACTCTAATAATTCTGCTTTTAACATTTTTCAAGCATCATCCTTTGACTTTCCATTTTCTTGCCTTCATTACCAAAGAGCCACTGCTGTTTTCTCTTTAAAGTTTCTCCCTTGATCATGTTAGACTCTAGTCGAAGCAAATGACACCAAAATACCCTTATCCAGGCCCTTGACTTCAGTGCCTTTAGGACACTACTTGTTGCTTGCTCTACCTTTCCCTCGAACTCAACAAATCTAAAAGGAACCCATACCACCTCTTGACCAGTTCTGCCACCTCCTTCCTGGCCACCTAAGCTCATTTAGTATATTGTAACAATTAAAAAGCATGAGTTTGGAATCAAACAGAACAATTAGAACGAGGCTTAAATTCCAACTTATAAGCAGTGTGATCTTGTTTTTTTTTTTCCATGTGATCTTGTTGAGCTCAACATTCTCATCTGTAATATGGGGATAACATGACATATGTCAAATGGTTGCTGTTTGGAATCAATGACATGCTTTGTATGTACAGGGCCTAACAAAGTATAAAGATTTAATAAAACTATTTCATTGGCTTCTCTTCCTCTTTCTAGTTCCGTATATGGTAAATTATCACAATCTGTTCAATATTTCTTTAAACTCTTTCATTTCCACACAAACAAGCTTAGGTTACTGAATAATCTTTCCAAGTTGTTTTCTTGTCTTCAGTAGCCCCAGAGACTTGTGTTCCTTATGTGTGCAAAGAATCTTGCTAAGACACTTCAGTCTTTCCAACTAACCCATTCCTCATTCTGTCAACAGATTAATCTTCCCTAGGATCTGTTTTTATTGTGCCTCTCCCTTGATTAGGAAGAATCAGTGGCTTCCCAGGACCTTTAGGATAAATTCCACACATGGGGTAAATAGGCTCCAACTTATCTGTAGTGGAGAATTATAATTTGGTCTGGCCCAGTCCTTTTTCCTGCCTTATTCTAGTAAATATATCCCTTTATTTTGGTGAATTGCTTATTATCCCCATTCCAGCCATGGAGCTACATTGGGAGCTGTCAATCATCGTATCTATCTTCAGCCATCAGAGTAGATATGTGATCCAAGCTGAACCATCTTTTTCCCTTTGGATACTTTCTAATTGAGGTGAGGGCAAGAGACCTTTCCTTCTTGGAAGCTGAGTTGGGTACTCTAAACCTTGGCATTGCCAGTGGCCATGGTTTGGCCTTGTGCAATCCGAAAGAATGAAGTGCACTAGTATCAGTTCCAGCTGTACTCAAGGCTAGCCTTTCTCTTGCCCTTAGCGAATTGGCTATGTGAGCACATGCATTTCCCATTTGGTGTTTGGTGTCGGTTGAGGTTCTATCATTTGGAGCCAAGCATTCTGACTAATAATACTATCTTTTCACCAGATCTCTGTCGTACTTCTTTCTCAAACCCATCTAAGCTGATCAACCCACTGCTCAGTGAAGATAATCTGTTCATGCTTTTCTTCCTGCCTTTGACCAAGTTGTTCCCCCTGTCAGGAATGTTTGTTCTCTCTTACCTCATTCTCCAAAGTCTGTGCTTCCCTAAGACTCAACTCAAAACCTTTACCTTTCCTGGAGCTCAGTGTGTCCTTCATGAGCACTAGGGAGTATTCCCTTAGCTTAACATCTAAGCTTTAGATTCCAAACCCTAAAAGTCATCCGATATTTAGTTACTAATTGGATCATTCATCCTTGTTATTTCCTACCTTTCTATCAAATTAGAATAAAAATTCCAAGCTCAACTAAGGTCTAGAGGTGAAGGAACTAGTTCCAAATCACAAACCCTATTTGGGGCAGAATACATTGAAGTTTCCTTAAAAATACTCATGTCTGACTGATGATAGTGGAGGAATGAATTTAAAAAGGAAAAATGAACCAGGAGCTTAAATTATCTGAAAATGTCTAGATTGCTAGGGTTTTGGGGGGAAGACAACATAATTTAAAGAAAGTGCTAGAGTTTATTAAATGATGAAAAACAGAAAACCATAAACATTCCATGATCTGGAGGTATTACTAGGCATCACAAATATTGGTGTAATGTCTGAGAGCCTTCCAGGGCTGTCAATGAAGGTGAGGCTCTTGACAGAGAAGGCAGTAGGTGGGAGATATGGTATTTGGGAACTAGCCCAAGTTTCAATTACAGTTTCAGTTAGAATAGAAGGAATGGGTGAGAAATCAGTCTAGGATAAAAGAGGATCTGTGCATAGCCATGCTGATGGACTAAGAGTTCAGAACAATGAGTTAACAGGGATATTATCTAGGGGAACACAGCTATAGTAGGAGGGAATAAATTGGGTGTTGAACAAAAATGGGCTATCAGGTTGTGAGGTAGAGTATGAGAGGAAGTTTCTCATGGGGTCAAGGGGGATACAGGGGGATGACTCCATAAAGGGAGTAGAGACATCATGGAAAAATTGAGTTTCCCTCACTTTTCTGACTCCAAAGGTTCTGAACGTAATTTAATAATCAACTTCTTTAGGAGTCTAAGGAGCAGCTTAGCAAGATCCTGGAATAGTTATTTGAACTTTCATGTCTATTTCATTTGCTGTTATTTGAAAGATGTGTATGGAAGAAACTTTGATTTCTTATTCCTCTTGACCCTCGGACCAGGACATGATTTATGCCTACCTAAGCCAACTTGCTAAAGTTCCTAGGATGTGGAGGGTTCTCTTACCTACTGGGATTTCAAAGAGCAATTTTGTTCTATGTATCTTTAATATAAGATCTAACCTACCACTCACAGTTTTAAAAAGGATCAACTGTAGGGAACTTTCCAGAACGCTCGGTGAGACGCGGAGGAGCGGCGGCTGCCCGAGCTGCGCCCAGCAACGCGCTCCTTCCTGCTCCCCCACACCGGCCTCGGCCCTCTCACCGGCTGTAGAAAATGGTGAAAGAAACCACTTACTATGATGTTTTGGGGGTCAAACCCAATGCCACCCAAGAGGAATTGAAAAAGGCCTACAGGAAACTGGCCTTGAAGTATCACCCTGATAAGAATCCAAATGAAGGAGAGAAGTTCAAACAGATTTCTCAAGCTTACGAAGTGCTCTCTGATGCAAAGAAAAGGGAATTATATGACAAAGGAGGAGAACAGGCAATTAAAGAAGGTGGAGCTGGTGGTGGTTTTGGCTCCCCCATGGACATCTTTGATATGTTTTTTGGAGGAGGAGGAAGGATGCAGAGAGAAAGGAGAGGTAAAAATGTTGTGCATCAGCTCTCAGTAACCTTAGAAGATTTATATAATGGTGCAACACGAAAACTAGCTCTGCAAAAGAATGTGATTTGCGATAAATGTGAAGGCCGAGGTGGTAAGAAAGGAGCAGTCGAATGTTGTCCCAATTGCCGAGGTACTGGAATGCAAATAAGAATTCATCAGATAGGACCTGGAATGGTTCAGCAAATTCAGTCTGTGTGCATGGAGTGCCAGGGCCATGGGGAACGGATCAGTCCCAAAGATAGATGTAAAAGCTGCAATGGGAGGAAGATAGTTCGAGAGAAGAAGATTCTAGAAGTTCATATTGACAAAGGCATGAAGGATGGCCAGAAGATAACATTCCATGGTGAAGGAGACCAAGAACCAGGACTGGAACCAGGAGATATTATCATTGTTTTAGATCAGAAGGACCACGCTGTTTTTACTCGGCGAGGAGAAGACCTTTTCATGTGTATGGACATACAGCTGGTTGAAGCACTGTGCGGCTTTCAAAAGCCAATATCTACTCTTGACAACCGAACCATCGTCATCACCTCTCACCCAGGTCAAATTGTCAAGCATGGAGATATCAAGTGTGTGCTAAATGAAGGCATGCCAATTTATCGTAGACCATATGAGAAGGGTCGCCTAATCATCGAATTTAAGGTAAACTTTCCTGAGAATGGCTTTCTCTCTCCTGATAAACTCTCTTTGCTGGAAAAACTCCTACCTGAGAGGAAAGAAGTAGAAGAGACTGATGAAATGGACCAGGTAGAACTGGTGGACTTTGATCCAAATCAGGAAAGACGGCGCCATTACAATGGGGAAGCCTATGAGGATGATGAACATCATCCCAGGGGTGGTGTTCAGTGTCAGACCTCTTAATGGGGCCAGTGAATAACACTGCTGGCATTTTATATGCAGTAGTGAATGAGTGAAGGACTATAATCATAGCTCACTACTTGCTATTGTTTTTGTTTTAATATTCAACTATAGTAGTGTTTTAAAAGTTAAATGAAGAATAAACTCAAATATAAAAAAAAAAAAAAAAAAAAAAAAAAAGGATCAACTGTATAATCCCTTAGGAAAAGTGCCTTAAATTTACATCATAGGTATTGAAAGACTGGTATAAGGTTTGTTTCCCCTGCAGGTTGTTATGGAAGGGAAGTAAAGGGGGTGGAACTCAGGAGGAGAACCTGGAAGATAAACATCTAAGTACGTTCAGTTCTGCCCTGGGCTAGCCCTGCTCCTAAAAACGTGCCCCGTGCAGCATTCTGACAACAGTGTGAGCAATCACAGAACTCTCACCTGACTGTCCGGCCAGGCTGATAGCCTGGGTGGTGGTCTATCTGGTTTACCAAGGACCCTCCCAGAAAAGCCAGGCACATGCAATAGAGGGTGTTGCCAACCCTCTTCAAATTGATGAAGGACCTGTTAGCCAACTGGGGCATACCAGAGAATTAAGAACCTGCTTAGCCTTCTTTCTACTCAGTGCCATCCCCCAGTCTCGGTGCTTCACCTCTGAAGTGAGAATCTCTAAGCCAGCATTTTGATTTAGCTGTTTCCACTGATTTCACACTCAGCACTGCAGCTGGCTCCTTCTCCCCGTGTACTCTGTGTTCATGTCTGTCCTCTTGTCTGAATGATCTTTGCATCCTAGCGTGGGCCTCCTGCTGCTTCCTCGTACTCCACAAGCCTTTCGCCAATTGTATTGACATCACTAGGTCTCACCTCAGGAGTTTTGCATTTCAAGTACCCCTCCTGCAAACTCACCCTCTCTCTCTCTCTTTTTCATTCTTTCTCTTTCTCTCTCACTCTTGTTCTGCTCTCTAATCCCCCCTCCCCCAGATATTAAGAAACTCTTTGTCTCCTCTTCTTCACTATTCACCTTGTATCCGCTGTCCATCCTGCAGATTGGACAAATCTCCCTAAAGATGCTCTACCTACTCTTTAGGAAACAGTGCCAAAAATACAGTGATGATATTTTCCAAACCCAAATTTTGGATCACGTGTTCAACCCAATAGAAGTTTACTCAGGAGCTAATAGTAAGTAACATTTTAATCAAGACTGACACTGACAATCCAAAATGTTTGGTTGTTGAAGCTCAAAGAGGACAAGGAGGAAGGTCTGTGTTGCAATCCTCCAAGGCCCTACCTTGTGATCTGGTCCAGCCTCCCTCTCTGATCTTGCCCCTACCTCTCTCTTCCTCCCACAGGCTGCCCCAGCCACGCTGACCTCCTTCTGGTTCCATGAGCCAGACAAGCTGGGTTCTGTCTCAGGTGCATTGTACCGGCACATCCTTCTTCCTAGGACCTTTTTCCCTAGATCTTTGCAAGACTCCCCTCTTCTTACCATCCACGGCTCACTCCCAAGTCACCCCCTCCCAAAGCCTTTCCTTAACAGCGCCACTCCTGGTCTCCCTGTAGTCGCTTGCCCTGGTTACTCTTGACTCTATCACATTGCTCTGGTTTCCCTCTAGTATTTACTTGTGCAAGAAAATATCTTACGTGTTTGTAGTCTTTCTCTATGTCCACTCTACCACCCACTACAACGTAAGCTCCATAGGGCTCGCCTTTGCCGGTTTCTCTGCTCCAGATCATAATGCCTAGAACACTGCCTAGGATGTAGTAGCAACCAAACTCTGTGGGATGACTGAATGAACACATGCTGCTCCTTGTGCATGTACCCTTGGTGTCGTGGAGCTGAGGATTCTGTGACCTGCTCTTGCAAGGCTACGTTCACACAAACCTCTGGAGGAAAAGGCAAGTCCCGCAGGAAGGGACCCACAGAGGAGGATCCCAGTTCTGGCAGGGTGGGAAATGAAAATCAAAAGCTTAGGCCAGAAGGCGGAAACTGAACAGGAGACAGAGCTAAGCAAGAGAAACCTGGTTTAAGAAAAAGGGGGTCGGGGAGCTTCAGGTATAATTTCGGGAATACGGAGTTGGACTGGTAGTCACGAGAACCCAGTTGCAGCTTTGCCACAACTCTGTGGCCTTGGGTCCATCGTTGCTCCACTCTGAGCTTTAAATGGCACACTTATAAAATGAGGAAGGGGCGCCTGGGTGGCTCAGTCGGTTAAGCGTCGGCCTTCAGCTCAGGTCATGATCCTAGAGCCCTGGGATAGAGCCCCGAGTTGAGCCCTGCGTAGGGCTCCCTGCTCCACAGGGAGTCTGCTTCTCCCTCTGCTCCTCCCCCACTCGTTCTTGCAATCTCTCAAATAAATAAATAAAATCTTTAAAACAATAAAATGAGGAAGCTGGAAGTCTTTTCAGTATTTTCCAGTGATCATTCTTTTAAAAAATAAAGGAGATGTAGGAGGGGATAATCTGTTTAACTGCAAGTACTAAGGAGCTACAGGGCACTAGTCTCAAGTCCTGCGAAGAACTAAGAAATGAGGTAAAGAAGGTTTACTCTTGAGAATCCGCGTTGCCAATCAGAGGCCAGAGATGCAGAGCTATCTGAGGAATGAGATAAGACTTTTAGGCCCGTAAGACCACAACAGTCACCAGTTTCAGTATTTTAACATGTCTACCCCCCCCAAAAAAAACCTGTCAATGAGGGGAGGGCAGAGTGTTCTCTAACCCTGGATAGAGGGAGAGGCCAGAGAAAGGGGCGGGCCCTACCCCTCTACATTCAGGGCGGCTGGGTGCTCCCTTCCAGTGGAAAGGGTGGCCTCACAGCAGGATGCACCCTGTAGCTAATAGGCTCCAAGTCTTTAGGAGAGTGTAGGATAGTGGTTCAGAGTCCAGACTCTTCATATCTGGCTTCGGATCCTGATTGCCATCGACTAGCTACAGAACCCAGGCCAGTTATTAAACCTGTATCTCTACTTATTCACCTATGAAATGGGAATGATGATAGTGGTAAGGATCCGCAAGAATCCCTGGGAGGATTAAATTAATATGTGTAAAGCACGCAGAATAGAGGCTGTTCATATAATTCCACGACAAAGCCACCTCCAGCTAACAAGCATGCCTCAGGCCTAAAGATATTCAGTATTTGTCTCCCCTCCTTCTGATGCCACTTTCAACAAGCTACCTACTTCTTTCCACGTAGGTTTGCTTACACAGGAAAAAAATGTGTTGATCACAGAAATTCTGAGAAATTACCATTCCAGAGCCTGCGCGATATCTTATGGCAAATCAGTAAGTTACTTGGAGTTGTGTCTGGACCTCCCACGTTGCTTGACCACTGAGGTAGGACACAGACATGATGGAAATGGAGGATATCAGTTCCGGCAGGAGGATATCAGTTTTGATTTCCAAATCATCACGCTGGGGTTCTGGTGCCTAGCTCCTCCTTAGTGTTTTGGGTTATTGCATAGACACTCAGGCTCTGATTTCCCTAAAGAGTGAGAGGAGTGAATCCTCAGCCTCTAAAACGGAGGGCATTTCCAACTGGATTTCCCAATCCACAGGGGTACACCCCTATGGGCTCCCTATCTGACCCTGTGGTTGCTGTCCCTGCAGCCGTGGGTACTTTACAGGAAAGAACACAGACCTTCCAGAAAACTGGTGGATTAAAAATGTAGGAAAGGAGGGAGCTGCAAAAGAAAGCTTTAATCCAAGGGTCTCCACTCACCTGCCTCCGGTGACTTCTCAAAAGAAGTCCAAATGTTTTCATGTCATCCGGGGACCCTGCCTGGAACTCCAGCTACCCTTTAGGGGTTCATCTGAGTTTTAAAGCATTGTCAATTAGAAGTGTGGGTCATTCTGGAAGGGTTAGAGAATGTTCGGTGATGTCAATGGTGATACACATCAGTGGGAATGTGTTTGATAAGATTTCTTTCCTCTGGACACCTTGCTGGGTTGGGTTTACCTTAAGGAATGAGCAGATTTGTGAGTTTTGTTTTGCTTTGATTTTGGACAGAGGGGAGAGAGGTGTAAAGGGGCAGGGGGTTACATGAGAGACTTAAAACTCTTAAGGAGGCCCATGACACCTGATTAGGGTGGGGGGTGAACCTGAGAGGTTCAAGGACCAGGAGGACTCTGGGAGGTTCAGCTGTGACCTGGGTTATGTTGGCATTTCCGGATTGGCCTAGTAAGGTAACCAATAATTATCATATTGTTCCCCTGGAAAAATGCAGCCTGAGCTCCAAATAAGTAACTAGTAAAGGAACTTTTCAGATACATTCAATCCATTGACACTGAGTTCTCAAATGGTGGACTTCCTATAGTGGATCTTGGGAAGAAAGAAAGTCCCAGGAAACATTTGGTATGGCGCTGGGGGAAAAAAGGTCAGAAGCGTAGAGTATATTCGGTGTGAAAGCTGGAAAGACACCAGTTCCTGGGGTCTGGGGCAGACAGTGACCTGCTGAAAACCCCCACCAGCACAGACAGCTTTCCAGAGATCCGGCAGAAAAATGTCCTGCATTTAAAGAGAGGCAGTTTCGGGCACTCGGGTTATGCTGCCGTTTCTTGCGGGTTCCCGGGACAGCCTTCCCTCGTGACTCTCAGGGAACCCGGGGCCCCGGTCCGAGTCTACCTGAGAATCGTCGCGCGAAGGAGAGACAGGTGAGAACTCAGCAGGGGAAGCCAAGCTTCGGTTTGAGGAAGCCAGCGTGAGGAGACCTGGATACAGATATAGTTGGGGGTGAGGACTGAGGGACGACCCGGGGGACGGGTGTGAAAGGGAAGGGGTCAGGAGCGTCGGGTTCGGGGACGTCGGCAGGACGAGCGGTCCCGGCAAAGGAGCGGTGTGGGCACCCGCGGGGAGGGAGGGTCGGAGGAGAGGCCCGGGCTGGGCGGAGAGCTGGCGCGAGGAAGCCGGCCCCGCGGCGCCGTGGGCTCCCGGGAGCGAGGCGGCGGGGGTCTGGGCCGGCGCGCGGCCGGCGAGCGAGCGCCGGGGCTGCGGCGGCTGGAACAGGTGAGCGGCCGCCGCGCGGCGGGCCCCGCCCCTCCCCGCGGGCGTGCCGCCGCCTCCCGCCCCTCCCGGCGCCGAGCTGCTCCGCGGCTCCCCTCGGTTCGGGCTGTCGCGGCTGGCAGCTGGCTTGTTTCCCCTGCCCTGTGTCTGTCTCTCCTGCTTTTAGGTCGCTCCACCCCGCCCAGGATCGGGCGAGGGGGAACGGGCTGGCTGCGGCCGCCAACTCGCGCCGAGCGCGTGTGCGAACTCCCCGAGCGGCGGCCGGCGCCCGGCCTCCTCCCTGCGGGGCGCGCGCTCCTCGCTGCCCGGGCCCGCGGCCTCCCCCGCAGCCCTTCCCCACTTTTCCCCCCTGTGGCAATCACATGGCATTTTAAGAATGCCGGAAAGATGGCGGTAGCGGCGGCGGCGGCGGCGGCGGCGGCGGGGCCGAGCGGCGGGGGAGGCGGCCGGGCGCCGCGGAGCGGGCTGCTGGAAGTTTTGGTGCGGGATCGCTGGCACAAAGTTCTGGTGAACTTGAGCGAGGACGCCCTGGTTCTGAGCTGCGAGGAGGGCGCCGCGGCGTACAACGGCATCGGGACCGCCACCAATGGCTCGTTCTGCAGGGGCGCCGGCGGCGCGCAGCCCCCGGACTCGCCCGCCGGGGTCCGCACCGCCTTCACCGACCTGCCGGAGCAGGTGCCCGAGTCCATCTCCAACCAGAAGCGCGGCGTGAAGGTGCTGAAGCAGGAACTGGGCGGGCTGGGCATCAGCATCAAGGGGGGCAAGGAGAACAAGATGCCCATCCTCATCAGCAAGATCTTCAAGGGGCTGGCGGCGGATCAGACTCAAGCCCTGTACGTGGGCGACGCCATCCTGTCGGTGAACGGGGCCGACCTGCGGGACGCCACCCACGACGAGGCGGTGCAGGCGCTGAAGCGCGCCGGCAAGGAGGTGCTGCTGGAAGGTAAGGGGTTAACGCCGCGCGGGCCGCGCACACACCCCCTCACCCTCCCACCACACCCGCACACTCCCCCACGTGCCGGCACAGCCCAGGGGCCCGGCGTGGGGGGGTGGGGTGGCGGGGAGTCTGGACCACTTTAACCCACCTGGGGGCAAGTTGTCGCTACCCTAGAGTCGCTGCAGGCTTGGACCCAGCAGGGGTGTGTGCAGAGGCTCGGCGAGCAGGGTTTCTTGAGCTACGTGGCAGGCGCAGGGTCGGATGCTTAGGGCACGGTGTCTCATTTTTCCCCGCGGATAATCCGAGGGTAGCGTAGGGGCCGGGAAGTGGGACTGGAAATGAAGGGCAGCCGTCCACGCCACGGTGAGAGCTCACTGAATAAACGCACCTCTCCTAGTTTTCTGCTTTCGCACCATGTTCTCCAAGAAGCCTGGGCAATCCATTTACAAGGGTTCAGTCCTAAAGAAGACAGAGAGGAGTGGCAGTGTTTGAACGCTAAAACCCAGTCATCCTTCTGGACTTCCCTCCTCTCAGATTGGAACCCGGGATTATGCTGGGGAGTTGTGCCAAGAGCTGGGAAGTATGTTGCAGCTTTATGCACAAGTTCCCTTCTGGTGCCAGGTGTTGGGCCGGTCAGTCTGGATTCCAGGCTGCTCTGGGTGGAGGGTTGCTTGAGGCAGTTTTTCTGCCTGCCTTTTCCCGGGATTTTTCCCGAGTGGGGTGGAAACAGTTTTGCATTTGGTAAGTTTCCCCTGAGTGTGAGGCTTCTTAGAAAGGACTTTCTTGAGATCCTGTGTGCCCAATCCCCTAATTTTTCAAGTGAATAGAATAGGTAGCTGCGTTATTGTACCCTTTTCCGATTATGTACAGAAAGGCAGTAGGGTATTAAGTGGATAATCACTCTCCTTTCCCACTATGTCTGTATTTCTTACTTGGTAACTGCCTCCCTGCCCCATACCTTTGTACTTACCTCAGCACAAATATCATGTAATTATTTTTGTCTATTTACTCAGCTTCCCCCTCACTGTAGAGGGGTCTTTTATTTATTTAGTTATGGGTCATTTCCCTTGAGTTTAGGTGCTCAGTGATAAGCATCCTGAGTGAATAAATCAATGAACCCATAGCCACAGAAACAGTGTTTCAACCCAGATCTTGTAAACTGGTGGTTGGTTTAAATCCTAAATTAAGGACTTAAGTCAATTTCCTGCTCACCAGATGTGGTGCTGGTGTGTGAAACTGAGAAAGTTCAGAGTTGGGAAACCAGCTTTGTTACATGTGACAGCTGATGCAACTGCTCTGGTACATGATCGTCCGCCTCCTGCCTAGAATACGGAGGGCTCCCCACACCACACATCTTTATTTATCTAGAGGATTTGTGATGTCTTCATATTTAATTGCTACCCTGGATCCAGAAAGGGGAAGGCTATTTGCTTTGGCTTGATGATTAACATAAATAAACAGAAAAAAGTTTTCTTGACTCAAGTGTGTGTTGGTTTGGTGACAAGGGGCAGGTGGGATCTGGGGCAAGTGTAGTTTGGACTACAAACCACTGGGCACCTGCTCAGCCTGCAATGTTTACTATAAACTATCAGGGGGGACAAAAGGCAGGTCATTTCTATTTCAAGGCCCTGCCCTTCATTATGTCTTTTCTTCTCCTTGGTTTCAATGTAATGAATGATGACTTAGCAAAGAGATATCTCTCACCCAAAAAGAGGAAGGAAAGGTGACTCCCTGCAGTTGAAAATAAACTTAAAGAAAAAGAAAGAGAACAGTTATGTGGCTTTTATGGATGCAGCAACTGAAGAGTGAGTTTTGTAAAAAACCTCTAACATGACATTCTTGGAACACATCATCCTTTGTTGCAGGCAGGACCTCTGGGGGAAGGCCTGTGGGCCTCCTAGACGTGAACCACCTGGGCTTGGGGCAGCAGTTTTATTCCCAGCCTGAGTTTTCAAGAGATCCACTGCAGTCAAGAGAAGCAAGTAGAGGCCCCCCTCAAACCAATGTCTCTCATACTGAGTTGAAGTGTTGGTTCGGAGTGCAGTAGGAGAGATCATATACCATCAAAGCAAATATCACACATCCCCTCTTTTGTAGCTTGGACTGTTACATGGATTCCCAACTGAAGGGGCATATCAGAACCACCGGAAGGGCCTTTTAAAATCTCATACCTACTTGCCCATATTGTGAAATGCAATCTTGATTGCTGAATTTCTACTCAGGAATGGCTTTGTAGATGTAATCAGCTGGGACGAGAGGCTTAGGGAGATGTTTTAAAGATATGTTTATATGGAAAATACACAGTTTTTTACTTAGATTGCTTTTTTTGTTTTGGGGGTGGTTTTTTGAGCCAGCCGAGTCCCTCAACTACAGCCAATACACACCCCATTGCATGACATGCGCCCCCTAGTGGAGAATCAATGCCACTGCTAGTGGAACACCCTGAAGTGAAAAGCTGAAAGGCAAGTTTCAAAGCCCGAGTTCTAGTTACTGAGTCAGTCACAGACTTAATCTTAACCTCTTTGAGCCTCAGTGTCTTCTGAAAAAATGGGAATAAGGAGATCGGCTGGACATTCTTACTCTACAGGGCTGCTGTATGGAAGAGAATCTGAGAGTAAAAGAAAAAAAAACATGTATCAAGTGGCTGCTATGATTCATTATAATTCCATGAAATGAAGCTGAAATTGCCCCTCCCGAGGGGTAGTCCATTCCTCATACTGTACTCAAGTTTATAGTTCTTATTTTTAGTCTACTTATTATTATTATTATTACGTAACTGTAATGTTAGGAGACCATTCCTCTGTGGGAAGGGAATCATGACGACAGCTAACCTTTCTTGACTCTTGTATGTGCCAGGCTTTACTTGCATTCGTTCCTTACACTTTTAGTAACTCTGTGAGGCTAGTACTGTTGGTTATTTGCTTAAAGTAACCGGGAGGAGGCTTCCAGGTCTGTCTGACTTCAAAGCTCAGCCTTGTAACTTCTGGCTGAAATTGATACTCCGAGCTTCTCCTTCATCTGTGTACTTAAGCCAGTTGAAGCTTCTTCAGTTCTTGGGCTCAAGATGTTCTTCCCCACTTCTCAAAAATGCTGAAGTGCTCGGGACAGCCTTGAGCAGGAAAAGCAATTGTGTGGGCTACTCAAAAGGGAGGGACAGGAAAGAGGATTGAGTCTAAAAACCTTCATCCACCCAGTGTCTGGCTATATCAAAGGGAGCTCCCGCCACAGTGACCCAACTTCACAATGAGGCAGGGTCTCTGTCATTGAACACCAGGCCAGCAAGGAGATTACGCTGTAATTCAAGCTGAAAATAAAGCGTGGATACACTGTGCCAGTGAAGTCAGTGTTTAACCGGATAGTCATCCAAGTTAAGATCAGACATCTTCACGTTATGAACTCATTTTCCTTTTGGGGGAGGAGGAGCAGGGACCCTGCATTCAGCCATGGAGATATTGAACCATAGAACTGCAGGGGATACCGCATACACAGAGTACAGAGTGAGTGGCCCCCTGTGGAGTGGAGCTGGGCCCAGCTGCATAAATATCCCTGGTAGTTCTGGGTCAGGGGAAGGATGAGGTTTTTTTGCCCTTAGATGGATAGCAAAATAGTAATTTGGAATCTGTCAACCTTTTTATAACTGAAACTACAGTAAAGTTAGTTTCTCCATAACTTTGTCCAGGTTGGAGAGTGCAGAATGTTCTGGAAGACTCCTCTTGGGGTATGGAAGGTGGGGGTGGGTGATGAACAGAATCTTATCTGGGTCCAAAAGGTATCCTAGGGAGCTGGACCAGAAGAAGTGGAAATTCAAAGGAGAAGGTCAGAGACTGTTGTTGACGTGAACCCTGTCCATCAAAGCTCCTCCCCCAGCACTGCTCCCAGGAATGCTTGGCTGCTGAGATCATCTAAAATGTCACTTGCACAGTCACTTCCTTTAGTGGTAGAAGTAGGGATGGCAGGATAGGGAGATGGGGTATGAGGCAGAGGCAATGGATTTGTTGGTATGAAATCTCAGAATTGGACAAGAATTTGTATTTTAGAGAATCTTACTTTATTTAGGATGTACAGAATCTTTTTTTAAAAGATTTTATTTTTTGAGAGAGAGCACGAGTTGCGGGGGGAGAGGGAGAAGCAGGCTCATCGCTGAACAGGGAGCCTGAACGTGGGGCTTTATCCCAGGATTCGGATCATGACCTGAGCAGGTTTCAAACGCTTAACGAACTGAGCCATCCAGGCACCCCTAGGATGTACAGATTCTTAAAGAATATCCAAGAACTCTGGAATTTAGAGTCTTGAAACTTGGACGCTTATATTTTAACTAGCAGTTACTCTTTTCACAAGATGCTTTATCTTGTTGGGCCTTGATTTTCTTCATTGGGAAGCTAAGGAGCTAGGTTAAGCCATCTCTGAACCTTATTTCACTTCACATCCTATAAATTCAGACCCAACACACTTTTTTTTTTTAAGATTTTATTTATTTATTTGACAGTGAGGAAGAGGAGAGAGAGAGAGAGAGCGCGCGCACAAGCAGGGGGAGTGGCAGGCAGAGGGAGAGGGAGAAGCAGGCTCCCCGCTCAGACGTGGGGCTCCATCCCAGGACCCTGGGATCATGACCTGACCCGAAGGCAGACGCTTAACTGACTGAGGCACCCAGGTGCCCCCCAACACACTTCTAATAACAAATCTTTCTAACCCCCCTTTTATTTTTATGAAACAAATTTCATAAATAATATAACCTAACCGTAGTTTAAATTTAAGAATCAACATAATGCCCTATTATTATATTATTACGAATATTAATAAAATAAAAAAATGAGTAAATTATTTTTAAAAAGTTTCAATTGATAAGCACATAGTACAACTACCCCAGAGATCATAATGAAGGAGGTAGATGCTAGTACATGTACATAAAATCACCAGCAATGAATAGCTACAACTGAAGATGGGTGGGGGTGTGTGGTGTCTTTTGGGATCTGGAAAAATCTTGCACTGTGAAGGGCTACCTCAGATGTTGCAAGATGTCTAGCATCTTTGGCTCCTATCACTAAATGCTAGGAGTATGCCCCTGCCACTCCCCTTGATCTCTAAATGCCTCCATAAATATCCGAACTGCTACTGAGAAGGACTGTATTGACCCTCCACCCTCTTGATGAACCCATATTCTATAAGAACGCTGATTCTGGGGGCGCCTGGGGTGGGCGCAGTCGGTTAAGTGTCCAACTCCTGGTTTCAGCTCAGGTTGTGATCTCAGGGTCATGATGTTGAGCCCTGTGTCAGTCTCTGTGCTCAGCAGAGTCTGCTTCAGATTCTCTCTCCCTCTCCCTCTGCCCCTCCCGCTCGTGCTCTCTCTTTCTCTCTCTCTCAAATAAATAAACAGATCTTTGATAAAAAGAATGCTGATTCTGCTTTACCACTTTACACAGTAGTCCCCCTTATCCGGGGTTTTGCTTTCCACGGTTTCAGTTTCCCATGGTTTCAGTTTCCCAAGGTTCCCTGCAGCCTGGAATCAGATGATCCTTCTCTGACAAACCATCAGAAGGTCACGGTAGCCTAACGCTCTGTCACAGCACCTGCATCATCCTCCTCGCTTCATCTCATCACATAGGCGTGTTAGCATCTGCCATCATTATGGGAAGGGCGAGTACAGGACAATAAGATATTTGGAGAGAGGGAAAGGCCACATTCACAGAACTTTTATGACAGTATATTTTTGTAATTGTTCTATTTTATTATTATTGTTGGCGATAACTAATTTATTATTAGTGCCTAATTTATAAATTAAACCTCATCATAGGTATGTGTGTATAGGAAAAAAACCATAGTATATATAGGGTTCAGGTCTGTCTGTGGTCTCAAGCAGGCAGCCACTGGGGGTCTTGGAAGGTGTCCCCTGCAGGACCCTGCGGTGCCTAACCTTTTGCAGACTCTTTACATATGTGATAAAAACTAACATTTATATAATACTTGCATCACGCCTGATGCTGTTGTAAGCACTTTGCATGGACTAAATCACTGGATTCTCACAATAACCCAAAACTATTTACAGATGAGAAGACTGAGGCACAGATCATTGAAGTCACTTGCCAAAGAAACACAGTGAATAAGTTCCGATGCTGAGATCCAAACGCAGACCTTATCGCTTTGGATCCTCGTGAACAGCCTTATGCGAGAAGC